CAATAACTGGGCCTGCTTTTCTTATACTCATCTTTATCATCTCCCTTGGCTGACCAAAATAATGAGAAAGACGCTTCATGCGGTGAAGTCAGTTTGACAGCCTTGGTGCAGGCGTTCTCAGTTCGTGCAAAGACTATAGTAGACCACATTCGACAATTTGGTTGTTTAAGGATGTAAAAAGAGTCAAATTGAGAAGAGGCTTCAAAGGGAAACGATTGATTATTCTTTTGGTCTCATTTCATCAATTCTTTTTGTGCCTCAGAAAAAAATTTCGAAAAAGAGTTGTTAGGCCTGTTGTGTTCCTATTACCATCCACTGGTGCCAAATCAAAATCCATCTATCCATACGAGTTTAATCAGTCAATTAATCGGATTTTCCTTTTTATTTTCGCAGAACGCTTGTTCTCCAAATCCTTGTCAAAATGGCGGCCAATGCACCATAAAAGATGAAGGAGCCAACTACGTCTGTACATGTCCATTTTTCAATATTTATGGGAGGAATTGTCATCTTTACAGTAAGAATATATTATAAAACTAATTGAGAATTCAATTGTAATACATTGTAGGATATGTTTGAGACAAAACATGGCGGATTTCTTTTGTTTTCTCAAGAAACTGATCCCACAATGCATTGCAAATGAAGTAGTGACGTACAAGGTTCAGAAGTCTATACGTGTATGTGTTTTGTGCACGGTGGTGATTACAGGTTAGGTTCAAGTATGATACAATTAGTTATTAATATTAGAGAGTTTTAGCATCGCGTTAACGGCAAACGGCTAACGGCAGAGCTTCTGAACCAATGACTTAAGAATTTTGTGCCCGATCTTATGCTTTTGGTAGTCATTGGAAAGAGCGGCTTTTCACGATTATGGCAAACTCAAAATAACCCACTCTCGCGTTGAAACTGCAACGTTAAACTCTAAAAAAGCAGGTCACGTGATCTCTTCTGCAGTTTGCCGTTTGCCGTGAACGTCATGCTAAACCTCATTAATATCAAATATCTGTTTTAGAGTGTGTTCTATTCGACTTTGAGACTGGACGACTTGACGGATGGACCCTGACAGGAACAGCATTCAACAACCAGCCAACCTATGGAGATAATTCTGCAATAAGGATTGGAAATTCATCAAAACTCAGAGGGGATTGGTACATATGTACACAAGAGAATAGACCCACTCCCTCTCATCCAGCTGGGGGATATCAAGGAAATGGTCCTACAGGCACTGCAACATCGCCTCCATTTGTAATCAGAGGAACAAAACTGAGACTTCTTATTGGTGGAGGGTCTGACMTCAATACAGAGTATGTCGAGCTGTTGATCGGTGGATCTGTCGTTGCCAAGGTGGGGAATTCAGTAAATGATGAAACTATGGCCCAAAAAGAGATTGACGTCACTTCCAAGAGAGGCCAGGTAGCTCAGGTTAGGATCGTCGATAACTCGGCCGTGACGTGGGGATTAATTATCGTTGACCACATTGAAGACAATTGCTCAGAATAGTGGGGCGATCAGCTTGTCAACCATGTTTATCGAAAAAAATTGCTTTCGGTAGATGTAGGAGAAGAGGCTGTCGTTCATATCATGCATGTCCATGTAGAAGATTATTACTTATAAAATTATTCATTTATTGATAGATTTTAATATTGTATTTCATAGCTTACAATTGAATGATATCGATAGATTTTAATATTGTATCTTATAGATTTATTGTGTTCAGGGCTCCCATTGATAACATGCAGATGCACGTGCAATAACTGATGGGGACCAACCTGAAAGTTTTATTTTCATTCATTCAATCAATCTTATTTACATATACGTGATGAATGCCGACGCATACAAGAAATATCACAAAAATTCAGGTTCGCTCAATCGAATTGATCACTCTCTGGCTTTATAGTAAGGTTTAGGATAGCGCTCGTCTGAATCTCCTTAATTGTGCGTGCCTTTGTTTTCAGCTTAATCTAAGTCTTTGTCACATTTCACAAATTTTCCCAAGCTCAATTATTGTGTCCATTTACTATTGAATATAGTGACTGTATTAAACTTCTATTAAACTAATAAAATGCCTTGGGACTTTCATTTTGCATGTGTTTTTGATATCTATATAGTAATGATAGGGTCGACTGAGATAGGGAAGGACCCTCCATCCTCACACCCGGCGGTCTGGGGTGTAGCTCAGAGAAATGCAAAATTACAACTTTTCAACGTTCTTTTTTATAGATTGGCAAACTATCTCAACCTCTCGCATTAAGTCAGCTATTATTAGATTGTTATATGCTCTCACTCGCTTTTTTTGACCCGGAAGATTCACGTACTTTAAAGACTATATGCCTTATGTAATCTTTCTCCGTCCTTTATCTACCAATCCCTCATGTTGTTTTTATAATTGTACGGCGACTTTTTGCTGTAACTTTCCGTGTCAAGGGTCACAGTGATTGGCTTACGCTGTTGTGGTGTCCCCTGGCTTTCTCTGCACTTTTCTTTATTTCTTTTTTCTTTATAATAGTATCTCATTTTGTAAGGCGAAGCTAATAAAACAAAAGAAAACAAAAATAAATGTAAAATGAGTTGACTTTGAATATCCATTTTTAAGATTGAAACTTAAAATATACAAGAAAAAGTTTTTACTTAAATTCCACTAAGATAAGCTCGTAAAGGATGCTGGTTGCATATAGCTGCTATTTTTGGGACCCCTGTGGTATAAGCCTCGCTCACATGTTTTATTCTCAAATTCAAAATGGCGGATCTTCAAACAAATCTAACTCAATACAGAGCACAACTTGATCAGGTAAAGCCATTAATAACTCAGTAACACTGACAATAAATGCTCAAAATGCTACTTTAAATATCCAAGAAGTGAATTGTGGTAGTTTTTTAGTTCAAAAATAAATATTATTGGTAAAATTCGAGTGATGAAAATAGAGCTTACGTTCGACATGACACATTTCGAGTTTAGGTTTTTGTGTCTTTTCATAGGTTGAAGCGGCATTGACTTCAGAACCAGATAATGAAGAACTTCATAAACTGAAGAAAGATTTAGAGGTAAATGATGGACTCAGGAGCCTCAATCATTTCTATGATTTGATATGTATGGTGTGTGTGGTCTGGAAATATACATACCCAGCTTCCCGCAGTACATGTAGTTTGAATTAATAGTAATTTAACTCTCACTTTGTAGGAAGTTATTAACCTTACTTTGGATCTACTTAAAGTGAATGAGGTAGGATTTTTTAGTCTTCTTCAATATATTGTATATAATATTGAATTACATACAGTTGACTCTCTTTGAACGACCACTCTCGTAAGCGACCATCTACCGTAATTAAGCGACCACCTTTTAAATTTCCCGTTCTAATTGTTTTCCATATAAACTCTGTAAAAAGACTCTCTTGTAAGCGACCATCTCTCGTAAGAGACATCACTACTTTTATCTGATCCCGAGATGGTCGCTTACGAGAGAGTTGACTGTATATTTAGTGTATCAAGTTTTGATGTATATTATCATTTATCATTGATAGCTCATCTACATTTTAGTTGATATGCAGTCACTCTGATCCCCTCTGACGACCATAATCCTTAGTATTAAAACAATAGAATGTTTTGATGTGAAGTAATAATGTGATAAGAGCAATTAAGCTTCATAGAGAGGATTTCGTATGAATAGGACACCGTTACCGCACGGTTACCGCACAGTTACCAGACCTGGCCTGCACAATTTTGGTGAACCAATGGGGCACTAGAATTTGGTTACAGTACGATTACGGTCACAGTACAGTACCGTCCGCTTCCCACTCATACGAAATCCGCTATATATATGTTTCTTTGGCTTAGAAGTAGAGGATATTACATGGTCACCTAGAGACACAGATTTCTATTAGTGTTGAAAAGATCTCTTACGAGTGAAAATTATATATAATTTGAAGATAAAAGTGGGAATGTTGGCCGATTAGATCTCTTACATGTAGTATGCACTCACCACACAAAAAGAAAAAAAAAATCCAAAGAAAATGTGTTGATTCTTCTGTAATACTCGCTATGCTCTTGAATTGTAGAAAGGAGCCGGGAAAAGTGCTGAAAGTACATGGAAGGTTGGTGACAAATGTGAAGCAGTTTGGAGCCGAGATGGAAAGTAAGCTGAACTGAATTGTGATTTAGCTTGYGTAAATTGTACCTTGATTTTGTTTTGACTGAGTGACTGTCTCAGTGATAACCATTTTGATTTCAGTCACTTATAAAGCACTTCGTCATTCTTTTACCCAAACTCTCCTCAGTTCCTAACAGAAAGCAGAGGCTCTGGTTTCAAACCCAGAAGTTTGAATCTGTTATCATACAATGKACATTATGCATGCATACTGATGAAACATGGGAATTTTTGAGCCAATCAAATTAAAGYGTCATAGATTTATAATTTATATGACCCAACATATATGACCCCACAATTTTTGTGAACCAATGGGGCGCTAGAATTTGGTTATAGTACAATTACGGTCACAGTACAGTCAGGCATGTCGGAATTATGCGCGAAAAAAATCAAAATTATGCGGAATTTTTTCCCCATATTATGCGGAAAAAATGGTAAATTATGCGGAAAATTATGCGGGATGACGTCATCACAGGAACGTAAACTTTGGGAAATTTTACATATATTTAGGTAATTGTGTTTGTTTTTCATGCAAAACTCCGTTTTTATCTTAGTTACGAAGTACAGAAGGCAGTACCAACAGAAGGAAAGATCTTTTTAGACTTTTTCGTTCTCGCACGCTTTACATCTCACTTGTATCATACGCCATATTGGAATTTGTCACGTGATCTAGTAAGGCACAGGGTGACCAGTAATGCTAGTGCCCAGACTCTTTTCTGATGAAATTTTGAACGCCTGGTACATTTGTGAAGCCCACGAAAACAAAACTATATTCGGAAAATTATAAGCATGTTTGGGAGCGTTTTTTGATCAAAAAAACAGTCAATGGACCACAAAAAACATTAGTAGAAGGCAAGTCATCTTAAAAAATGGTATAACATGGGAAAAAAACACGAATTATGCGGGATTATGCGCGATTTGGTAAATTATGCGGAAAGGGGGCAATTATGCGCGTCCGCATCCGCGCATAATTCCGACAT